TAAAAGCGAACGTCTCAACTATTTTATCATGCCCATGCACTTTTATTGGGATTATTTTGAATAAAATATTTGTTAACGAGAGATATGATGGACAATCACTCACAGATTTGCAGTTGTTATTGCACACACAACATCTACGCTCATCGCTGTGAGAGTAGATATGTGCTCTCTTATTTGTTGTTGGGTTATCAGTGGTGTTGTTATGTCTGCTGGTATTGTTGCTATATTTTCTAGTGGTGGGTTCTATCGATATTGAACTGGCTGTTAATCCAATATTAAATACCCAAGTATCAAAGTCACACAAATTTGGCTTCTTATTTTGACTGAGTAGCTGTCTTTTAAGAGTTGCCCACTGCATTTGGTATGAAGGTGGGAGTTTCTGCAACAATTGGTGGAGTAAACATGAATTATTTAATTCATCTGGCAAATTGGCGGCATTAATTGTGGCAATCAAACTACGAACATTTATTGCAAAGGACGTAAGTGATTGTAAATTATTTTCATCAACTTTAGGGGAAGAATTAATTCTATTTTTTATGGAATATAAAATCTTTTCAGGTTGACCATATAGTAAGCGGAGAACATCGAGGACGCCAGAGACGTTTGAGGGATGTACTAGCATATGTTGGACGCTATGGAGTGCTTCGCCTTTTAATGACTTTTGGAGACGGATGAGGTTTTCGGCGTCTGAAAAGCAGCAAGTAGCGGTAGACCACTCGAATGTAGATATAAAGAGCGGCCAGTCTTCGGGATTTCCAGAGAATACTGGCAATTCTTTTGGAACTGCTTGTCTGGAACTTATGCTACTTTGCTGAAGTTGTGTGTTATTAAAATATTGTGTTGCTATTCTTGAATTGTGTGTTTGGGGGTGCATTGTGGATGAAATAGGTTCATTATTAACAAATGATTGTTCTATAGGTGAGTTACCATTGAATGCTGCGTTTGAATTAAAAATCGGGGGAGCAATTGACGTGTTATAATAGGGTATGTTTGAAAATGTGACAGCAGGTGGGTGTGTGGCGTTCTGTGGGCATGAATAAAAAGGTCGTCGTTGATGACTACTACTGGTGGTGATGGCCGGTGCACAAATAAGTGCGGTGGTTGTGACAGATGAGCATGGATCATTAGGGACCACACGGGAATGGTATAGTCCCGAACTTTGAGGGATTTGATTGGAGATGCTACTTACAACATTATTATTTTGCTCTGCCAGCATAGTGGGAATTTCCAAACGTGTGGTTTGGTTAGGCATATTGGTTTCTTGGAGATTTATATTGGTTGTTCTTTGAGGAGTTTCAACAGAATTATCTACTGGTTGTTTATGGAATGGCAGTTCATTTACCCAATTCCGAATAGATTGGGACCTATTAGACGAGGCGTTACTTATATCATCAGCTTCTTGGAGAAGCTGATATTTCTTATTTAAGTATTCGCGATGTAATCTAGCTTGCTTCTCATTTAGTGCTCGCTCTTCTTCAAGTCGTTGAAGCTGTAATTGAACATTACGCGATTGGGACAGTTGAGATCGAACAGAGAGGTGGCTGGTGATACTATTTGCAGGTGAAGTTGAACATTGTGGGCACCGAAAGGGTATGTTGTCTCTTATGTTAACGCAACTTGCGTGAAAGTATTTGTTGCATGTGGTACAAGTAGCCATTTTATCGTCGGGTGACTTGTGGCATTGCGAACAATTGTTATCATTTTGTTGTTGACCCTTTGCAATGTCTTTATCCATTTGTACTTACTGCGAAATTGGCAATGACTTTTACGATGTAGGTGATTTCGGTAGAACCTTCGTATCGCAAAAAGAATTTTAAACTGTTATAGCGGCAAATAGGCCGAGATAGTGACTTCCACGGGATTTTGAATAAAATACAATTCGTTTAATAAAAGATCTTGATTTATTAAACGCAATGCACTTATATTAAAATTCCTAAATAAAAAACATAATTAGGATTCGTAGAAAATATATATATATAAAAAATAGACATACTTTTTGGTATGGAAACCACTATAACTTAAACAAATAATTATTCCTGGACACCTCGTATCAGCCAACTTGCTAGTATGAAATTCAGAATAAAATGGCCGTATCCGAGGGACGCCTTTTGACAATCAAATTATTTCGTTAAATAAGAATACTAAAAATGAATACATTATTGTCAAATTGACAATAACAAAAATTATTTTCTCGTAAAAACGATGCTGCCAAATCGGGATCCAAATTAGGCTAATTTTAGGCGTGGCGTCAACAGACCCGGTCTCCAATTTTGTAATATTAAAGCGACATGAATCAAGGCCACCTCCCGCCAGACCAAACTCAAACTCTTCAAGATGTTGATACTACCCGTGCTGGTTGAGGGAAATTTCTCCGAGCTGATCTGCGTCGACGGCAAATATCGACGTCGAAATTAACCACGAGTTTTACGTCTGAGTATGTCGATACACCGAGATCGACATAGTCAGACGTATCGGGCCGTAAAAACTACGAAAGAAAGATCAAGTGGAGAACGACATATTAAATTGGAAACCAGTGAGTATAGTCGGACGGGCCGACCATACGATACCCTATACAACTACCACGGAACTCTAACATTCTGCCGACGTTTTTTCTGAGCGTGGGCAATATTTCGTGATAGTTGCACCCTCATGCCCGATTAAAGATCGACAGCACCTCTTCTTTACACTGACATATTTTCCGAATATTCCCAATATTGAGTACAGCCCTTAAAATTACTTGTTCAGATTCCATTCACCGTGGATTGTGTTGTGATGTTCGGATTATAATTGTGGTCTATAGATCGTCTCGAAAAAACATAAAAAAATAAGTTTTCGGTCCACTTCATCCCAAAATTTTTATCTGATCATCACCAAAAATTATAGCCGATATCCCTGACCATACCTAGATCCTCATTGAACATATACGCTATGGAATACACATTTTGTCATATTTCACACAAAAGTCAGGGCCCATTTGACCCGCTAAATATTGCCCGATCTTTATCAAAACGCGGTGTTTTGGCCATAATTGCGGCTTATGGAGCGGCCAGAAAAACCGACAAAAATAAAGTTTTTGTTCCATTTTATCCCCTATCCGATTTTTTCCAAAAACAATAGGGGTCTTCATTGGCCAGAACCCATCCTACATGCAAAATTTCGTGAAGATTGCCCCATAACTGTGGCCTGTATCGTGTTTACAAATTATAATGGAAAGACGGACGGACGGACACACATTTCTAGATCGACTCAGCTAGTCGTGATATGACGATCGGTATACTTAAAGGTGGGTCTAGGACCAATATTTCGGGGCGTTACAAACTTTTGGGGCTACACAAAGCTATAATATCCTGACAACATAGTTGTGTAGGTTATACGAATTGCGCACAAGATCGACGCGCCTGAAGATCTGATTTAGGTTCGGCTTATGGAAGAAATGTTCTGTCTTAAGCCAGCTAAGTAAGTAAGTAAATATACCTAAATCTTCAACTTCAACCTAAATCTTCAACTAATCTGCTGCAGCACAGAGCGCTGTTCACAATTTTATCTCGTGTATATGGAACAGACGTAGGCTCCTCGGTGCATCATTTACCAAAAATCTGAAGAAACTATATATGGGAGCATTATCTAAATCTGAACCGATTTTCACAAAACTTCGTATACGTAAATATAACCTATTTTAATACGCTCTGCAAAATGTTGTCTCAATGGAAAAAATAATGGAAAGTTTAGTGCACCATTTACCAAAAATCGGACGAAACTATATATAAGAGCTATATCTAAATCTGAAGCGATTGCAACAAAACTCCATAAATAACAAACGGAGTTTGGTGCACAACTTACATATAGTCGTATAAACTATGTATGGGAGAAATACATGTAAAACTGAACCGATTTCAATTACGAGTTTGGTGCACAATTTACCTAAAGTCGGACAAAACTATATATGGCAGCTATATATAAAACTGAACCGATTTTCACTAAACTTCGCATACATCAGTCAGGACCTAATTCAGTACACTTTGCAAATATTGGTTTTGCTAATGGCGGGCACAATAACTCAAAAACTAATAACCCAATCGATTCTGTGTGAGTGTATAGCTATAGTATGAACTAGGATAAAGCCAATCGGTGAATATCTTCCTTATTTTTATATCTTCACCACACTGTGGTACAGGGTATTATGTCTTTGTGCATATGTTTGTAACAGGCAAAAGGAAACGAGATAGACACGGGGTTCCTTTTGAGAATATGCATAGAATCTCTTTCTGAGTCGATTTATGCATGTCCGTCCGTCCGTCTGTCTGTCCATGTTAAATTGTAAACAAAGTACAGGTCGCATTTATGATCCGAATTGGATGAAATATGGCATAGGTCACTTATTCGGCCCAAGGACGAACCCTATAGAAATTGCGAAAAATCGGTTCAGATTTAGATATAGCTCCCAAATATATATATATATATATATATATATTTAACCGATTTAATGTAAACGGTCCCTATATATCTTTCGATTTGCACGAAATGTGGTACAGCCTAATCATTTAGGTCTAGAATGATGTCTGCCAAGTTCCGTGAAAATCGGTATAGATTTAGATATAGCTCCCATATATAGTTTCGTCCGATTTCATGTAAATGGTTCACCAAAGTCCTTATATATTCTTCGATTTGCACGAAATTTGGCATAACGTACTAAATTGAGCCTAGAGTGACGTCTGCCAAGTTTTGAAAAAATCGGTTCAGATTTAGATATACCTCCCATATATTGTGTAGTCAGATTTCATGTAAATGGTGCACCAAAGTCCCTATATATCCTTCGATTTGCACGAAATTTGGCATAACTTACTGAATTGAGCCTAGAGCGATGTCTGCCAAGTTTTGAGAAAATTGGTCCAGATTTCTATATAGCTCCCATATATAGTTTCGTCCGATTTCAGGTAAATGGTGCCCCAAAGTCGCTATATATCTTTCGATTTGCACGAAATTTGGCATAACGTACTTAGGACACACTTTCCAACAATTAATTTATTTTGTTTCAGATCCATTTTTTCTTCGTTACCCATTTTTCCCACTACATAGAAAAAAATAAAACCCATTTTGTTGAGCAAAACTATTTTACAGGAAATTTGAATATTGTCAATCTTTCACTTTACACAAATATTTATCGTCATATCCCTTTGCTTTGTTTATGATTTGCATTTGCATATGTGTTCATCGAAGCGGACATTGGCTTGGGAACCCAAAAAAATAAAAATAAAAATCACCAAATATACAAAACATTGCAACAACAAAAGCTGCAACAGCAGCAGCTGGTGGTCACAGGCCCTTTTTGTTGCTACTGCTTCTCGGACTTTTTGTCACTGGCATGAAAATAGTTTCAAATGAAAATGACAAATTTAAATATATGTGAGTGTATGCATGTATGTATTTAGGTTTGTAAGTGAATGGATGCATGTATGTGTGACAGGGTTTTCTATTTTTTTCCATCTGCCAATTTTTTATTTATTTTGTTGTTGTTTTTTTTTTAGCAATTGTGCCAACCATGTGACCATTTGATTCATTTCGTTGATTCAGATGAGGAAGTGGTTGACATAGTTTAAATGAAACACAAATATTTTCGAACAGATCCGGTATAAATTAAAATACAAACAAGGATAACAAAA